ATTAAATATCATATAAGTTGCTATGTACACATTTTTTTACTATGATGACGTAACAATTTTGGTTAATACAAGATAACTAAGAAATAGCAATAGTGGATTTTCTAGTAAAATTTAAAAACTTATGAAAGTTAATTTTAAACTTTTAAAAGCGAGGATGTTCTGTGTAATCATTTTAAAGTTCAAGAGAGTTATTTTTTTAATATCTTAGCCTTTGAAAAGATATATTACTCTATGCATTTTTAAAATATTGAATGAACAATGACAAAAAATTTATCAAATATATGTTTGTATGTATACACATCAATACACACGAACATAGATAAAAAGAAAACAAAATTATTTTAGGTTATGTAACTAAAATTTTAAGGGAGAATTTCAATTAAAGATTTGTGAAGAGATTTAATTTTAAATGAGTCCAAAAATATTTTGACATTTTAGTTCAATTCAGAGGAGAAAAGTCAAAAAAGTTTCAATTGTGAAACGATCAAAATACTTTTCACATATTACATAGAATCACTAGTTATTTATTTTTTTACTGTACTTATTAATTTACTAATATCACTTATAAATTACATTCGTTTGTTAGACAATGAGTAACATTAATTGTTAATTTGCTAACTTTACTTGTCAATAATTTAGTAACATTAGTTGTAAATTATAAGATCTATTAGTAATTCAGAATTGATATTAATAAATTATAAAACTTGTCAAAAATTTACAACTGATATTAGTAAATTAACAAGTAAAGTTAATAATTTAACAATTGATGTTGCTGTTTATATATGATTAAAAAACTAATATTGCAAATCTCATACAATTATTGACATGTCCACTCATGTAATTTGTAACTCATTCATAAATTAATAGGTAGAGTAAGAAAATTAAAAACTAATGATTTTGCATAATAGGTGAAGGGTATTTTATTCTTTTCACTGTCAAAATTCTTTTAACTTTTATCCCTAGATTGAACTAAAATTTTAAAATATTTTTGGACCCACATGAAATTAAGTCTCCTCCCAGATCTTTAACTGAAATTCTCCTAAACTTTAATCTCTAAAAAATCTTTTATTTTTTTAATTATACATTTATTAAAGATTAAATGTTTTACATAATAAGTGTTTTAATATTGACAATTGAAATTTCAATACATTATTTAAAAAAAGGAGTGATAAATGAAGTGTTAACATAGTTAAAAAATATAAAATTATTGAATACCTTATATTTTAAATCAAATATAACTTTTAGAAGACATACTATATTATAATATGAAAGGAGTACTAGTCAATAATTGGCACTATAAATGTGTGTATTAAATAATAGATAAATGTTGTATTAAATATATAAGATAAAGGTATAAATTTAATCATTACTTATTTTTTAAGGAGAACTAATAGTTTATATTATAAAATGGTGCCAAAAAATCATCAACGAAAATGTAGCATCCACAACCTCCAGCCCATTCTGTCCAATGTCCGTTTATTATGTCTGTGGGACCCACAAATTTTCATACCAACTCACTCTTTCCCATCTTTTCAGCATCAAACCAGTCTCTTCTTTTCACCATCTTTATTGTCTCCCATGACCGAATGAAAAGCACAATAGAGATCTAGTCGAGAGAGGGAAAAAGAGGCTGAATGAAGTTGATAAAGGGTATCAGGCAATGAGCCATGAAAAAACTTGCTCATAAATCATTATAGTTATTGATGCAAATGACAACAGAGATTTCAAAGAAAAAAACCAGTAGCCACACCAAAATTAAACCAGGTCAAAGGAAACATGTCTTCAAGTTCAAACAAATTCAAATGAATTTTATGGTCTGAAAAAACTGTAAAATCCTATATAGATCAACAAGTACCAAGAGTAGCCTAACAAGATCCACTTTACTAAGTCCATTAAAAACGTAAGGTGAAGAACTAGAATAAGAGAAGGAACCCATATTTTGTGAATATTGAGTCAAACATGCAAAAGATCTTCTTTCACTTTAAATGAATTCAAACTTCCTCAGGTTCAGGAGTAAAGAAATTCAACCTAAACAGATTCATAACAATCAGAGTCAAGATGGCCAGAGGTTTAGAAATCAATTGATAATCATAGAGATAAGAAAAAAAAAAGGAATTGAACCTTGAGAAAGGGTCCGATTGAGATAGATTGAAGTGGAATCTACTAACCATGTACTAGCACGCTAGATAATGATTACAAGATCTAGCCAAAGGCAGGACAGATTGAGGGTGGTCAAGTCACTGAGGACCCAAGAACGGTTCGAGGATGATGAAGTCTATTATTAACTCTCTTCCACACCAGAGAGAAACGTTCTTCCTCCTCTTTCACTTTCCTAACGCTTCATCGAAAATTTCAACGCCATTCAATTCTTTCCTTCCTCGCCAGAAATTGCCTCACGCATCAATGGAAATCACACCTTGTGATGCTTGTTTGGTAAAGTTGATGAAAAGGAGTATTGCACGCACTTTATCAAAAGTTTCCAAGCCACGCGTTTTCCTTCCCTCTCCAGAAACTGCATTGTGAATAGCTGGAAATCACCTCTTGAAGAATTGGCTATGCACTAGAGAGAGAAGGTGGGATTTGGCGAGAGGGAGAAAGTAACGTCCATTTGATCAAATTTAACAGCTGAGCGCTCCATTTTAAATAGTTGATAATTTATTTTGCATATAGGCTATTCAATGCTCTCAAAATATAGGCTATTCAACGTTCATCAAAAAATAATTTATGATTTAATTTGTACTTTTATCCAAATATATATACACATAATACAACACTACTCCAAAATATTTATTAAATAATAAATACTTTGATTAGTTTCCAGTTTTATTGGAGCGCTAAGAGAGAGAACAATAACATTGTTGGCTTGGTAAATACGGGAATAATGTTTAACATTTCTTTGTAGAAAAGAGAGTCACATGCATGTATTTAATGACGGAGCCCGGACTTAAAGTCAAGAAATTCAAGATAATTTAATTTAAACATTAATTAAAATTTTTAAAAATGATATAATTACACTGAGAATAAAATTGTAATAACATAAGTGGATTAATTATATTTTTTTAAAAAATTATATTGAATAGGTTGAAATAGTCTTTTATGCAAAGCATATTCTTCAAACCTTATAACTATCATTAAAATGTTATATATTTAATAAGTTTTTTAAACTAAATTTTTTTTATTTAGTTTAGATGATGTGAAAATTCAAAAATAAAAGGTACAAAGTTATAAAATTTACACACACAATTAATAATTTTTTTTAAATGAGAGGGTGTATTTGCACACCCTTGCTGATGAATTGCTCTGCCACTGCACACACTACACACTTGTTCCCCCCCCCCCCAACCGTACGTGAATTTGATTCTTTATTCTCTTGCATGAAAAAGGATACGATCATGACAATGGGTGCCACTTTGAACTAAAAGTTCTTGAAAGGCTTAAAATGGTTACATTCTGGGCAAGAACCAAATTGATTGGCCAAACCAAAATAAAAGTTGATTGGTTTTATTATGACGTTGGTTTGGTTTAGTTTGAATCATGCTTAAATGATGATTTTTCCTACTTTCCCTAATTTTTTAAAATTTAACTCTGAATAGAAAAAGTTGATATTCAATTTTAATAATATGTTATTGTGGACTTGGACTGTAAAAACAAATTAATTTTAATTAAATCTCGAACAAAAATGCCTCCGTAAAAATGCACACAATAAAAAAAAATTAATGGTTAAGCTAGTGAGTTGATTAAATATTTTAATAGTTGAATTACATGTATAGTATAAAACTGCTATCAAATATCAACAATGCGCATTTTTTGACCAAAAAATGGAAAACGACTCTTTTGTTTAGCAAAGTTTGCCTAATGGCAGCGGTTAAGCGTCAAATTCAGTAAAATTTATAACGAATTTTAAGGTATTTCTAAATTTAATATATAATTATTTATAGGGACAAAGAAAATTAGATCCCATAGTTTAAATTAATAAAAATTAAATCTTTAATGATTTTTTTTCCAAAATAAATTATAAATATCAATTTAAATAATTATATATAAAAATTTGTGTTACAATTTAAGAGTTATATTTAATACTTAAATACATATTTATAATTAAAATTCTTAAATTCATAATTATTTGGATCAATATTTTTAATTAATTTATTTTTTTAAATTTTGTATCTATCTATTATTAATTTAATGTTTTAGCATTTATCTGTCATTCTCCTTTATTCACATAAGTAAAAGATAATGTTAAAGTATCAACACTAACATCATTATATCACACAAAATCATTATCAATACATGCAAAAAGCAATAATTTAAAAATAAAATCGAGCGATCGGACTGTCAACTAAAGCTGTTAATGGCTCGATTTGAGTTAAAAAATCATTTTTATGACAAAGTTGGATTGAACCAGAGTTAAACCGCTATTGAACTGAAAATTAGAATTGAACCAGGAACTAAAGTAATTTTTAAAAAATTGAATGATTTTAAATATAATATTAAAAATATTAGAAAATTTAAAAATTAGATCACATTAAAAGTCAATTTTTTTTGGATAATTTACATGTATAAAATATGACTTGAGATCATTCTTTGTATAAAGATGTTGACAATTATGGATATAAATATAGATGTTTTTGAATTCACTTATATTTAATTTAACTAAAATTTATCTATACTTAACAAGTTATAAAATTATAATTTATAATATTATTAATTTATAATTATATTATGTAATTTTATTAACACATTATAAATTTTTTTTGTATTTATTATATATAATATTATTTTTATTTAATTATTATATTATTGATCTGATCATTGGTTGTATTATGTATACTGTGAATCGCTACTTTTTCCGATTTAATATGCCGTTAGATTATGAAAATTGGCAATAAGATTGGAAATGAGTATAAGAAATGGACTGTTCACGACCAAAGGTTAAAATGCTAAAAGCGTAAAAGCTTGAAAGCTGCTTTACCTCATTATACAAACCCCCCCCCCCCGCCCCCCAGCTCCCCCCAAATGTTCTCCGAGCTCTTGCTTGAAAAAAACGCAGAAGAAGCATATGGTTCATTGATGCTGAATTTATGGTATTGAGAAATTCTGATTGGATTGAGCAGATCCGCCTTCGATAGCTCCTATGAATTCCGATTCCTCTCCAGCCCCTCCAATCCCTCCCCCGCCTCCTCAGAATGTTAAAGCTAGGGACTTCTTGAACCATCTCGAAGCTTACCTTGCTAAAAGAGACGGCGTTGACAAGCTACTCAAAATTTCCAGGTACGCTTCCAAGGTGATCCTCGCCTCCTCCGTTATTCAAGGTAATCCAACCCTATCTCTACGTCTCAAGAGCTTCGAATCCAGTGTTGGGGTTAGTCGGAAAGCCTTCAGGCTTGGTAAGTTTGTTCAGGACCTGAACGCTTTGAGAAACGCTCATTCTGATTCCAAACAGGATTGGGTTCTCTCTATAATTGCCTATGGTGGTGAAGGCTTTTATTACTTCGTTGAACAGTTCATATGGCTGGCGAAATCGGGTCTTATCGACGGCAAACATTCTCGTAATTTGCAGAAAATAAGTGCTTGGGCTGAGATTATTGGGTATTTCGGTAGTATTGCTCTGAAGCTGAGGGATTTGAGAAATATCTGTGATGATGAGGAATGCTTGAAATCGAGTATTGAATTTGCGATCATGACGGGTAAAGGGTGTCAAGAAGACGAGGCAAAGTTAAATAAATTAAGGGAGAAGAAATTGATGAAGAGGCTCTCTTTAATTCAAGATTTGGCTGATGGTTTTATGGCATTGGATGATATATTGGATGGGAAAGGACAATTCTCTAGGCCATTGTTGGTGTCTTCTGCAGGGCTGCTGTCAGCACTCATTAGCACTCACAAGAATTGGGTTTCTTGCTAAATTTGGTGGGTACTTCTCCAAGGATTGTATTGCCCTTTAACGAGTGCCTTAGTAGTTCTAATAAACGATTCACTTGAAAATGGCAGATAAATGTATGATTTATGATTTTCACTATACGTAAAGGTGCTGTGGTTCTTTGTTGTTACAATTTGTTCATACTCACTTTATAGTCCTTTCGCCAAACAGGCCTGTAAAAAGACCTAAGGCCTGACCTGTTTATAAACAGGTCAGGGTATAGGTTGCCTAAAAGGTTCAGGCCTCTTACCACCCTTTTATGTTGCTGAGACAACGATAAGGATTACCCATGCTTGAGATGGACCCGGCTTCTCTCCATTTTTCCCCTTTTCCTTTTTCTCTCCACTTCCCATCTCAACCATTGGATCTATTTTTCAATGGTTGAGATTTGATGTTTCATAAAATTATTATTAAAATGTGAAATTTTATGAAAAATAAATATAATAATAATTTTATAAAATGTCAAATCTCAATCATTCAAAAATGGATCCAATAGTTGAGATAGAAAGTGGAAAGGAAATGGAGAGGGGAAGAAATGGAGAGAAGCCGACTCCGCTTGAGATACTTATGTATACACTATCTTCAGGAATTACCCATATATATTTTTGGCCTTTTTGCTGGGATTAGTTCTTATTTGTGAACTCTCATCTTAGATTTGATCGACTTCACTTTTTGGAGCTTGCTCAAATCTCTACTTGTTTGCATGGGAGCTATAAGTTTTCTGCATCTCTGTTCTGTTAACTATACATGCAGCATGTGATCACTGTGACAAATGTGAGAAGGTATGTAGCCAAGGGTAGCCTTCATTACTTGTTGGTTATGTAGGGAAGTCAAATGAAGTGAAGAGTGCTGGCGGGCAATGTGCTTGAGCGAGAGGTTCTAAGAAAGGTGAGGTTTTTAATATGTGCTGTTTGAGCTGCTTTGGATATGCTTCATTTCCTCTATTTAACAGTTGAGATTGTTGAACCCAAGTTTGGCTTGCTTCTTGCTATTCTAGGTTGGCTACAACATTAAGACGGTGGTGTTTAAAGAGGTCCTCGACCATATTGATCTGAATATTCTGGTGTCAGATTTCTTCTACTGATCAATACATATTACTTTTTGTTTTTTACCTTTTGATAATTCTATTTTATTATTATTATTTTACATTTATGGATGTTTACATAGTCTTATGATTAATCAGTAGTAAATATATCATGCGTTCTTTATTATATTTCCTTGGTTTGGAATTTTTTTAGTCTGGTTAATCTTGTCGTTCTGCTATTGGGATGAATATAAACCCATTATATAAATGAGTTCCTGCTACCATAGATATTTTCTTTCTACCATGTCATGAAAGAGTTTTCGGCTTTTCAGATCATGTATGATAGTTGAAGCTGATATTGATTGCAGGGGCATTGAAATGGAACAGAATAGGGATGATTTACTGTAATATAGAAATAATTGTATCACTTTCATTTGATGCTACCTTTCTGCAAATTCACCTCCTGAAGGCTAGTTTGAAGTTCACGCTCTTTCCTCTGTTTCTGATATTTCTAATTCTAAGTTGAAAAGTTATCCTCCAGTTTCCGGGGCATATGTGTAGAAATTTTGTAGCATCCGTTTGTTTTTTCTCCTGTTTTCCGGGGCATATTTTTTTTGCGGCAGTTCAAACAGTGAGGGTTGTAGTTGGGACTCGGGAGCTCTAAATTCTAGAATTCATGCCCTTGGAGACATGTAGTATCTTGGAGAAAAAGCACATACCTCTCTACCTTGTGATTTGAAATCGTTAATTTAGTGCAACATGCCAGAATGGCATGTCCAGTCCATCTTGGTTCAAGCTTTTCAATTTAACTTGTGCTAGCTCAAGTAAATCTCGTCTAGAACGCTCAGATCCATCTTGTAATGGAAGAATTTGGGTCTTCTCAAATCAATTTATGAATGTATATAATAAAATGTATTGAGTCATACTACTCATAAATTATAGATAGTGATTTATTTTTCAGACTCAGTATGATTTTACCTAAAAGCATGTCTATATACTGTAATTGAAGTTGATATTGATAGTAGGTGCATTGAATTGTCAAAGAATAGTGATAATTTACTTTAGTTATAATATTGTCAAGTTGCGCTGGCTAAAGAAGCGAGATGTTATCACGGGAGCACTGAGTTCCTTCTGTAAAAGCTCATATATTTATTTTGAGTAGTGTGTGCATGTCTCGAGATCTTTCACTGGCAGAACTGGAGAAGACGCTTTGTTGGCATATAAGCTTGTGATTGCACTATAAGGGCCAGTTTATTTATTTATTTATTTTTTTATTTTTTTGAACTCCGCCTATGTTTATAGTCGGTCCTAAGCTCGGGTAAAGGAGGAGGGTTGTATTAGGCCATCAACAGCTAATGTAAAACTTTGTTGAATCTATCATGAACATGGACAATAGACGTTATAATGTTAATGCTAGGTCGTTGCCCGTAAGTAACGCGCTGCATGGCTCGAATACAGTGATAAGTGAGTTAGAGCCGTTGCATCGGCGCCCGGATGTAGTGTTAAATGAGCAAGGGCTATCGCGTCATTCTGGACGCATGCGGCTAAAGAAGTTAGTGCATAAGAGCAAAATTAGATTTGGTACTTGGAATGTTGGGACATTAAATTGTAAATCTGTAGAGGTTGCAGGGGTTATGATTCAAAGGAAAATCAATATCTTTTGCTTGCAAGAAACAAAATGGCGTGGAGAAGAAGTTAAGGATATTCAAGGTTTCAAACTTTGGTATACAGGAAAAGTAAGTGCACGCAATGGAGTAGGCATCATTATAGATAAGGAGTGGAAGAAGAACGTTGTAGAAGTTACCAGAATTGGAGACAGAATTATTTCCTTAAAAATGATAATTGGACGTGAGACTGTTAATATTGTTAGCGCTTATGCGCCGTAAGTCGGGACAGAAGTCAGTGTTAAGGAATTATTTTAGGAGAATCTGGAGGGGTTGATTCGACGTATACCACAGAGTGAAAAGATTTTTATTGGAGGAGACTTTAATGGGCATGTTGGGAAGGAAGCTGGTCAGTATGCGAGGGTGCATGGTGGTTTTGGTTTTGAAGAGCTAAATAATGAAGGACAAACTCTTCTTGATTTCTCATATGATTTTAAGATTGCCAACACTTGTTTCAAGAAGAGAGATGAGCATCTCATCACTTATAAAAGTGGAGCCTCAAGGTCACAGATTGATTTTCTTTTGGTTAGGAACACAGATAGAAGACTTTGTAAAAATTGTAAGGTGATCCCCGGAGATGCTGTAACGACACAACATAGGGTCCTAGTCCTTGATGTGTGTATTATGAGTAAAATTCAAAAACGTCGACAAGTAGTAACACCAAGGATTAGATGGTGGCAATTAAAAGGTGAGAAGCAAGATATTTTCAAGCGAAATTTTTTGGATAAAGGAATTTGGGAATCTCAGGGAAGTGCTAACATCATATGGGAGGATATGGCTAAAGATACGGGAGGTTGCAAAAGTAGTTTTGGGAGAATCGAAAGGTTCTGGTCCGAGAGATAAGGAGTATTGGTGGTGGAATAATAGTGTACAGGATAAAATCAAATATAAGAATAACTGTTTTAAAGCCATACATTTGTGTAACAATGAGGAAAATTGGGAGAGGTACCGTATGGCTAAGAAGGAAACTAAGAGCGCTGTGGGTGAAGTTTGTTCTAAAGCTTTTGAAGAATTTTATAAGAACTTTGAGACGAAGGAAGGAGAGCAAAATATTTATAAGATTGCCAAGAGTAGGGAAAGAAAATCAAGAGATCTAGAACAGGTAAGGTGTATTAAGGATGAGAAGGGAAGAATTTTAGTTACAGATGATGAAATTAAAAATAGATGGGAGACTTACTTTTCTAAACTTTTTAATGATGGAGAGGATTCATCTAGTAACTTGGAGGATTTAGTAACTGGTGAAGGAGAACAAAATTTGTCATTCTATCGAATAATACGTGATAAGGAGGTAAAGGAAGCTCTTAAGAAAATGGCAAATGGTAGAGCCAACGGACCTGATTGTATATCTATCGAAGCGTGGAAATGTTTAGGTGAAGAAGGGGTGAGATGGTTAATTAAGTTATTTAATGTGATTTTACGGTCCAAGAAAATGCCTGATGAGTGGAGGAGAAGTACATTAATTCCTATTTATAAAAATAAAGGAGATATTCAGAATTGTACTAACTATAAAGGGATTAAACTCATGAGTCACACAATGAAATTGTGGGAGAAAGTAATTGAGCACAGGTTGAGATTGGAGACAAGTATTTCTGAGAATCAATTTGGTTTTATGCCAGGTAGATCAACTACAGAGGTGATTTATCTACTAAGGGGATTAATGGAAAAGTATCGTTGTAAAGATAAAGATCTACACATGGTTTTTATTGATTGGGAAAAAGCTTATGACCGTATACCAAGAGAAGTGCTTTGGAAAGCGTTGGAAAAAAAGAGAGTACGGATTGCTTATATTAAAGCCATACAAGATATGTATGAGGGGGTAAAAACTAGTATAAGAACACCTAGTGGTCAAACAAAGGATTTTCCTATAAAGATTGGACTATATCAGGGATCATCTCTGAGTCCTTATTTGTTCAACTTGATTTTAAATATTTTGACGGAACATATTCAAGAGGAAATCCCGAAATGTATGCTCTTCGCGGATGATATAGTTCTTATAGCAGAGACAAGAGAAAAGGTTAATTGTAAACTTGAGTTATGGAGGAGGACATTGAAGTCGAAAGGTTTTCGTCTGAGTAGGAGTAAGACGGAATATTTATATTGTAAATTTGGTAAAAGAATATTCGACAATAATTTGGAAGTGAAATTGGGAGATCAAATTATACCTCAAGTGAAAAAGTTTAGATATTTGGGAGCCATTATTCAAAATGATGGCGAAATCAGTGGAGATATTTCACATAGAATTCAAGTTGGGTGGTTTAATTGGAGAAAAGCTAAAGGAGTTATTTGTGACCGTAAGGTGCCTAATAAACTTAAAGGAAAGTTTTATCGCACTGCTATCAGACCGGCAATGTTATATAGTAGTGAATGCTGGGTTCTAACGGGACAGCAAGAGTATAAAGTTGGAGTAGCAGAGATGAGAATGTTACGATGGATGTGCGGACATACACGTAAAGATAAAATTTGAAATGAGCACGTACGCGAAAAAGTGAGGGTGGCACTTATCGAAGAAAAAATGGTAGAAAATCGATTGAGATGGTTTGGGCATGTACAAAGAAGACCAAGAGAGGCACCAGTGAGAAGAGTGGAACATATAACTTTGAGTCCGATTAAGAGAGGTAGAGGAAGGCCTAAGAGAACACTCTTGGAAGTTGTTGAACGCGATCTCTTAATTAATAATATTCCTAAAAGCTTGATAAATGATAGAGCACAGTGACGTCTTGCAATCCATGTAGCCGACCCTACTTAGTGGGATAAAGGCTTGTTGTTGTTGTTGTTTTGTTTTTTTGAAAATTGGAGCACGATTGATGAAGGAAGCTAGTATTGTGTTTATTGTTACTTCTTGTATTCGTCTGAGGTTATAATGATATTCAGTTTATATTAAAAAAAATTGGAGTAACGAAGCCACGGATAAATAGTGATGAATACAAGGACAGTAGCCCAATTGGTTTTTTCCCCTTTTCTTATCTTCATTTTCTTGTCAACGTTTTATTAATTGGCATTAGGGTTTAGAATATCTCGAGACTTGCATTGGTTTTGGGGGCAAACATATTGACTTTTAGTTTTATTTATGTGCATGATAATTTCAATTAATTCAAAACATGGGATACAAGTTCGTTCGCTCGTTCGTTTATTTTATGGAAGATCGAGTCAATTGAAACATAAAATTGTCTAAAAGAATAACTACACCACAACGAAAATTAAAAACCTTTAGTTACTTGCATTTGGGCATCAACTTATTGATTGAGCCGTGAGGACCCCTTCCCTCAGAAATATACAAAGGGAGATAGGGAACAAAAAAGAGACGAAGTTGTGGAAGCTGTGGTTCCCCATTTCCTTTACCATTTGATCTCTATGGATATTTGACTCCGGCTTGGGATTGGGGAGGGATCAGCATCTCCCGCGATCAAAGAAAACGATAACCGCGAAACAGACTTTGCAGAGTATCAGAGCGTAGATCAGTGGCTGTCAAGATTTGCTTGTTTTGGCGTCATTCTCCACGTGGAACGTCGAAACTCGAATCTTGTCGTTACAAAATTTTCTATGCATCAAGTTTGAAGAAATTCAGTAGAATGCCGGGAATGAACCCTTTTTTTTTTTTTTTTAAAATGGTAAGAATGACTGAACATGTTATTGGAAAGTATGCAAACAGTATACATAAGAGGCCAAGAAAACGAGAATCACATGGGAACGGGTCTTCATTCACTGTCCCTCCATACTTCTCGCAGAAGCTCATATCTAACAAAATTACGACCTTCAGTTACTGCTGTGAACTTGTTAGATAAAAGTGAAGGTTCATCAATCCCAATAGCAGATAAGGGTGAATCTAAATCATCAAGCTCGTCATCACTAGTGTATGACTTTTTTACCACTGACGATCCACTTCTACGCAGAGATTGGGAGCCCAATTCTTGTATTATGGCTGTAACTGAGATTGCTGCAGGTGGTGCATAGGATGTTGGGGCGGCAATATGTGGAATGCTGGCGATGGACCCTTCGTCATCCTGAATATCCTGCCACTCACACAAACACCATAAAGATGGTTACAATAATTTCCCCTTCATTTTCCCTACCTTTTTGGGACACGAGGTTCAAATTTCGAGTTCTTTGTACACCATTAGTATTATCTAAGCAGAATACAGCATCAATACACAGATGTAGCAAAAGTTCATGACTATGCTAGGTCAATGGATCCGAAGTCGATGAGAAGTGTGCGTATGCGAGGGTCATTAAGCAAGATATTCCACTTGACAAATAGACTAATATGCATTAAGTCTTTAAGTTTTTGGGCCTAATAAAGTTATTAATTTAGTTAATAATTCGTTGGTTATTCTTAAGTTAATGTTTATATTACAGAGAAAACACAAAATGGTGCTTAAACCAGCCTACCTCAGTATTCAGGGTCTCAAGAACAGTATCAGGGACGGGCCCTGGGCAAAACTCATCAGGAACAAAATTGTTCAGAACCCTCTTTATCAATGGGACGCCAAATGTAGGGCATACCTACATAAGTGTTTAGATGATGAATACCAAATAATAAAGTACTAACTGCTAGAAAAATGATGAACAAGACTAAGAAACTTGATTCAACCTCTTTTCTTTGAGATGCGTCAGCAAGCATTTCAAAAGGAAGCATCATTAGATCACTCAGTGAATTAAGGAGATGGAAAGCCTTGAAGGATGTCTCACACTCTGGACTCCCGTTGTCATCATCTTCATTCCGATCTTCAGGAGAGTCACAATCATCAATGTCAAATAAATCTGAGAGCCATCTTGACCAGTTCCCAATCTGAGTGCAATAGAAAGTTAGAAACAGAGGAATGATGATTGACCAAAGGAATGCGCTACAAATCCTTGATCAAAGTAAGAGCAAAATAGTAAAATTATTCTACTACATGTCTCAGTACCCAAAAAAAAAAAAATTAGAAGCCTGCAGAAAAGAAAATGCATGTTGAAATACACTTACGTACTAATTCAAGAGGGCTCAAAATGAACAGGATCCTTATAATCTGAAGACAAAATTCACTAGCTTGCAATTTTAAGCCAAGCTCAAGCTTCAAATGAAAAAGGAAAAATTAATCTTTTAGTCCACTAACTTTTAATTCACTTGTAATTCAATTCCTCAACCATGACTCACCTATAACTCAGTCCCTTAACTTTGGACTCACTTATAATTCAGTCCCTCAACTTTTGTTAATTTTCTTTTTTTATGTTAAGCTTAGATCTGACATCAAAGAGCAAGAGGAGAGTATTTTAGAACAACATATGAATATTTCTTTTATCCCTCTTATTTGATAAGGAAATTTTTTTTAAAAATTGAAAAATAAAGACCGAATTATAAGTGAATCAAAAATTAAGGGACTGAGTCACAGTGAGTCATAATTGAAGGACTAAGTTACAAGTGAGTTAAAAGTTGAAGGACTAAAAGATTAATTTTTCCAATGAAAAATCTAATTAAAGATTTCAATGTACATGCATTCCTAGGCATTATGCTTTCATAAATCATTTTTTTTATCACTCGTATTTAATGTAACATCACCAGTCATCAAAGAACATAGTAGATGAACTGGAGATTATAGAATCTAAAATCTCGCTGATTGTTTTCACCGGAAAATTCTGTTCACTGCTAAAAAGTATTTCACACCCTAAACAAAAATAAAATAAAATTGTAAATCTGATCTAACATTCAACTAAGATTTGTTTTCTAGAGCTCATGAGAATTAACGTGTTACTGCTATTTCCATAATATCCTTGAATTATCACTTGATACAATACATCATTCATTTGGATCAGCAAGCAGAGCCTTCCCAAAAATCATACAAATGCAGATCGCTGATTGTATAGTGGAAGCAGTGGACTTAATGATTTAGTGGCAGACAAAATAAATGTAGGAGATAGGAATCAAATATTGCAGACAGGTTGGAAGATTATCATGAATTAGAAGTCAGAAAATAACACAGGAACAAGGAATGGCATAAGATTTCATCACTCACAGCATTTTTTAGTTGTGCACCAGCCCCAAAGCCTGATTTTCCTGCAGGAATTGGAAGAACCCTAGAATCACTAATGGGGTCAGATATAGGATCAGTTGGCATCTCTTCAGCTGATTCACGGAGAATAGCATTAAACATTGCCACATCAAGTCGATTTACAAGCTGCTCCATCACCTAAAAGCATGAAAAAAATCTTTCAATCACATCGCACTTAGTGTATAAGATAATGCATTAGGAATAAGAAAACAGCATTGATCAAAGAATTTTCATTCCCCAAATAGTATATAATTAACCACTTCAATACACAAAACATGAAGACATGCATGCACAAAATACTAATCAGTGGTAGGCAACAATACAAACAAAGATGGAAATGACAACTTTTCCCTCATAACAACAAGGATCAAGAAGAGAAGGATGCAGTCGCAGTTTATAAAGGTTTCCCATTGACATCAGCAACTCTAATCAACCACAGATGCTGAACCATATATAAATCTGCCAGGAGAATATCTATTACAAGGCCAGAGATAGAAAAACATGAATGAACATGTTCATGGTGGAAAGAAAAAGGGGTAACAAAAATCAATCAAAACCATAGAGATACTTGCAGCTTTGGAGTAGCACTAGCCACAAGACAACAATAATATACAAAGAATAGACAGGTCTAAGCCTAACAAACTACCATCGTCACCAAGCAACTGCAAAAATTACTTTTAATATTTGTTCCAAATCAATGTCATTTCTATATTCTCACACAGGCAGGACATGACTGCCTTATGGAACATTGCCTCTGATTTCTAGTTATATAATTGCATAATACAATTACTAATATCCATATGCATGACTAAAGCAGAATACTGATATGGAATCCAGCCCAGTGACACGATAAAGAAATATCCATGCTAAAACTTACCAATCTAGCTATCACAGGCAAACAACCACAAGCATGCCCCCCAGCTCGAAGAGGACAAAGTCTTTCACAGGCATCCTTAAAAGCTCTCTTCCATAAGTCAATGGAGAAGCTTCCCTGCTCTTGATCACCTAAACCATGTCTTCTTCCATAGATTTTCCTTGAGCTGGAGCTCTTAGCAGCAGCAGACTGCATATGTGGAGTCAGGGTCTTGGGACAATAAAACAACACAAGACTTATCAGTATGAAGCAAAAGTATTTATTTCAGATAGGTAAGATAAGTACGAAATCAGAAACGGTTCTTATTCAACCTGCCACCACACAGACTCAACAATTCGCGAGAATATCCAAGCTTCAATCTTTTCCAATGCAAATAAAAATGTTTGTGGATCCTCCCAACTATGAAAAAATTTTGTTGCATTTTCTTTTTCTCCATCATGAGGAGAAGGTGACCTCTTCAGCAAGCTTCCATTAACTGATCCATTTCTTTCACTATCGGTGCACAGACTGTCATCAAGTTGTATCTTTTCAATTCCTTTGCCTACAATAGCTCTCAACGAAATTAAATTTGAGAGCCAGAAGGTCAACCTATTCAAGGTAAAGAAATATCATCATCATTATCATCATTTTTTATGAAAGAAGAAACATTAATTCTTAATAAATACATATGCATTCATATTTTATAAATTATGTGAAAGCCTTCAGAGGCAGATTTTAAAATTTCCACCCTTTAATGGATGAAGGAAAAAGTAAAATAAAATTCTTCAGATATATTAGGTTTAGCTAATATGAAAGCTTCCACCTGCACAATAGGCACAGGAAAATACTAAATATATAAGAGCAAGATTTGCCCCTAAGAGCACCTGAGTTTGTATATCATGCAACATTAAAACAAAATACATAAACGAGCTCTAGTACCTTGGGACATCATTTCCACATGCTTTTGAAACCAAAACAAATCCTGAAACAGCACTTTGGGATGCATTAGCTCTGGCAGCAGGTGATCCAACTCTAAAAGCATGCAAATAGAATCTAGAAATGCGCCGAGCAGGGGCGTGAACCTTGTTTGCTGAGCTTCCATGATCAGCAACAACAGAGTAAAGTGAAATTTCGAGAGCAGCAGCTTCCCTCAGCTCTTCTTGTAGCATTTGAACTTCAGACTTCAGTTCAGTTTCATTATTATTAAAGCTGCCATTTGTACTAGAGCCTTCATGACAAGCAGCATCAACATGATCACCATTCAGAGTACTATTTTCCTCTGCCTTGTTTGCGGCTTGATTTTTACCAAATAAACCATAATTCTCAGAAGTGTCTACATGCAATTTAAGAGTTATCAAATCCTCTGGTTTATCATTAATCAAAACATTACTGGGATGTTCATCGGATTTCCTACTCAAGGGACGAGTAGCACTTGCCATTTTTCCATTTCTTGGATAATCATCTTCAGATGGATTATGAAGAAGTTCCTTATCCTGAGATTGAGAAAAGCTTTTGATGTTTGATTGCATAATGTATGATGCAGATAAGCTTTTGACCATGGCACCCTGGGAAATATTTTGACTACTTGATCGTCGAGTGCTTCCTGGAAGTTTACAACTTGCATCAGCATCATCCACACATTCCTCAGGAAATTTTGGTGAAGAATACCTATCATATGTAGCATTGCCAGTGTTTGAGGACAAGACCATAGACAGCGAATGTAATTTGATTCCATTTAATTGTTTCGACACTCCAGCCTCTTCTTTAATATGTGAGCTAGGAAAGTCTGGAATCTTAGAACTTACATCACCAACCTTGACATGCTGCTCAGAAATTTTGGGTGAAGGCCTATTATATGTGGTATTGCCAATATCCGAGGACAAGGTCACAGATGGTGAGGGCAATTTAATTCCATTGAATTTTTTGGATGCTCCAGCCTCTGCTTTTATATTTGGGTTAGCATATTCCAGAATTTCAGAACTTGCATCAGCAACCTTGGTATGATCCTCAGGAAATTTTAGTAAAGAAGTCCTATCATACGTAGTATTGCTAGTATCTGAGGACAAGACCAGAGATGATGAGTGCAATGATGCCCCAGTCTCTGCTTCTATATGTGAGCTACCAGAAGATGTCTCCATGGGTACAATGGATCCTCCAGTTAATCCCACTGTTCCTAGTTTGCTAATTTCAACCTTATCTGCAAACAAATGGCAGCACCATATCATCAAAGCAGAGCTTTTTTTTTTAGGCCAGTTAACATCAAAGGAAAGCATTTCAGCAGAAAAATACTATTGTCCCGAAGAACAGGTAACTGAATCTTCAGGTTTCTATCTAATTCTGTCACAATAAATCTACTCATATGAAAAAAGATTAAATGTCAACATATCTGGAGTCGAAGACATTGATTATTGTATGAAGCAGATAAATGGAAAGTTACTTACTGCAACAGTACCTTATATAGAAGTGTATGATCATCACAAGAATAAAGTAACATCAATAGGAAATAAATTGCAGCGAGCAAGTAAACTGAAAACTCATATTGATGATTGGTGTGCATATTGACACTGAAATGGTGAGAATGATTACAATTTACATAATGCAGGATTAGAAGCTATTAAATTGGAGTACTCCATCACTTAGATGTGGCAAACCTCCTGTAGTCTCAGAAGTGGATTTGACAGTTTGTGAGGTATTTGAAGAAATACCATCAATCTCATCATCAGTAAAAGAGGCAATTTCAACATCCTCATCATTTAGGGACTGTGTTGCAGATTCACTTTCTTCCTTGTCCAGCGACAATTCTTTTGACACACTGCTCTTCGGAGATGAGTCAGAGCCCTCTACATCAAATGGCTGAATATTAATATAAAGAAATGGGTGTGCTGAGTTTCTGAAACTCCTCTTGCAGTTCACCTGAGTGTTTACGGCTGTAATTTCCTTAATAGCTCCATAATCTGCTATGTTTATTGTGGCTGATCCCAAGAGTTGACTTTTGGCTGTCTTGTCGTTTTGGCGTTCATATAAGTAGAAGTCTAAGCAATTCTTCTGAAAAATGTCATGGTGTTTACCTCTTTTGGATGACTCTCTCAATAAAAGTAATGGAAGCCTGAAAGACTCGTTGATCTCAATTTTCCCATCCCTTGAACTACAAGCAAAAGATCCTGAATTTTTATCACCATTTTCCCATTGCAGTACTACTGATTGAGCAGATCTCTGTGATTTAGAAGGAGGCCAGGGCTTGATCTCCTGAACATGGATAATGTAGTGCACTTGGATTGAGACAGTTTTTCTACTCTTTGATCTTATTCCTAGAACCATATTAACAAGAAATACAAATTCTTTCCCTTAGTATGCTGATCCACTATAAATGATGAAACCTGAATGGAAAACAAAAATTGGGTCAGAGGAAAATGTTGATCAGAAAATTCTGACATGCATTACTTCATGAAAAAGAGAAACTTGACTGGCAAACTTTGTAGCATAAAATAAGACCTGGATGAACATAGGGAGCCGAAAAAAAAGGCAATTATGATTTTAACAGGAAAAAAAGAACGTGGCAAGCTCTCCATGTTCAAAAGAAAAATAAGATGCCGGGAATAGCCACCCACCGGGCTACCCAAAATAAATTATTATTAAAAAAACTAATTATCAAGCCAAAACGAAATAAGCAACACCAACTAAAATGAAAGAAAGAATATTTGTGCAGAAAGACAAACACTACCGACTGGAATGAGATAAGAGAGAAAAACATCCCCAGGTGGACTTGGATAAACAAACCAATTAAATGCATGAAAACGTCAGCTAAATGGACAAATATTTAAACTTAAATAAAGCCATCCCGTTTTAGCAATGACCAAAGTGATCAAACAACTTTGAAAATGGACAATCAACAATTAGCCAAACCAGAAAAGCATCCGGTTGCGAAAAGAAATGCAGGAAACAAACAAAGCATCCACCGCTAACTTGCGATCAAATCAACAAAGATAAGATCAGAATAGGCATAAATTTGAACCTTTCGATAGTGAGCACAGGATTGAAACAATGAAACGAAGGAACAGTGGCAACAGTGAAAGTGGAGAAAATGAAGAGGGCGATCCTCCCCGTGATTACCACCGCTGGTGGGAAATGGGCATCTTCGTCTTTCAATTCAAAGGTGGGGTCAAATGCAAACAATGTGCGTTGAAAACATGAAAGCTGAGAAGCAAAGGAAAGAAAAGCTCAAAGAAGGTGAAAACGAATACGAGAAAACGCGTCCGCGGCAGAGAGGGATGTGGGAAAGCGCCAACTAAACAATGGGTCGAGAGTTTAATCGCTAAGTTACACCACAGTCACATCGCATCCTAATCCTGATTTAAATTATTTAATTCACCTCACATTACTTTTCGGGTTATAAAAATATTATACCATTTTTAACCCTACACTTCCAATTTTACATTGAATATTGTTTTTCTTTTAACAGCTAAACTACTTAAAAGTGTTTTGGTCCAAAAAAGAAGGGTTAAAACTTAAAAGTGTCCACCTAAATGATTAACCTCAAGATAATGTTAGTTATTTGTTTAAATTTTAGATCCATGCTCAACGGTAATTTTGCGGTCATCGTCTCAGTGATGACTGATATACAATTCAATTGATAGGTATTCTTACTAAAAAAATACTAACTCATTTTGTCATGTCACAATTTTAACATTTTATCAATATTTTGTTTTTCATGTTTGACAGTTTTAATCAAATCTTCTAAATAAGATGCATAAAATTTTTTGAAAATTCGGTCCTTTGAAGATTGTCTAACTAATCATCATATCTTGATTTTTTTCCAATTTATTTTTTAATTCAACGGGGAACATTTTTCTTAAAGAGACCTCAAGTTGAAGATCAACATTAGACAGACCATTCATATATATCAGCCTTGGAAGACACCTCCAATTGTTTTAGCTGGTTAAGGAAGTGGAAGTTTTATAACAATTTACACCTTAGGCCTACTAACTGTGGTTGTATCGAATAAAAAATGATTTTGATTTTCTTCAAGTAAGATCAAGAGTTTGAACTTTGTCGATGAAAAAAGTTATATCAAGGAAGCTATTATTAGTTAAAATTACTTTGTGCAGTATGTCAATAATCTAATTTTCGTGAGTGTGTATTTTTTTGTTAAGCCGTTCAATCTTATCAGAAACTTATTTTTTCATTTTCATCACTTTCTGTCACTTTATTTCAACTAATGCGCAAACGACTGTATTTGTAATCTAGCACTCTTGAGTTGTTTTTCCAAGCAATCTATCTCAGAATATGAACTTGTATTTGAAAAAGAAAATTGGGTGTAAAAATAACAACCTCGTCAAAACTTTTACATAAATGGCATCCTTTCTTTCATGCGTTTTCCAAAGTCCAAGTGGATAAGATCAAGAGGTTGAAAGGTCATAATCCTATCATTTTCATTTTTGTTTTATTCCGTCTTTTATTTATCTCACCTAATCCCCCCCTGGTACTATATCTCTGGGATGTTTGAACTTTGAAGGAATCTCACTTAATTTTAATTAAAATGATATAAACTGTTTCAACTAAACTAATTTTCTCCTTAAGATCCTACTAATGCGGACTGTTAATCCTGTAATAAAATATTTAAAAATCAATCCCAAAAATACAAATTATGTCTGACATTATGTTCCTTTGATTACTCTCTCTTTCATTGAATTGATTGGTTCTCTTTACTGTTCAATCATCTTAGGTGCGCTTCTAGAGAGGAGCAATCCGAAGTCAAACCTTAAATAGAATTCTAGACTTCTAGCCCATATGCAATCAGTTTTTCAATTTGTTAAAACATAATAACACAATGTTTTTTCAGGCAGCTTTAAAACCGCAAGAGTGCATGGTGGACTCTATATCAGGTAACATTGATTGAAGAACTTGACTCTACAATTCAGGATCTTAAAGTTCTGATCTAACAGGTTTTCACTTAATTAGTCATTGATCTTTGAGACCAAAAGATAACACATTTTTTTTTAAAGAATCATTTTTTGATTAAAACACAAAATTGTAGGTGAGAGGAGCAATAACAAGTAAATTTAACACAAATCAAACCCATATGCAGTAATTTTTCCCAATTAAAGGACGCATCTATGATTGTAAGGAAATCCTACCAGATGATTGGACGAACAGACCGTGACAGAAGATAGTTTGGCTATTACAAAATGACAGACCAACCTTACCATCGTTCTGCCCCGGCAATGTAGTTCACATTACAACTCATCATCATCATCATGACTGACTGATAAACAACAGACAACACATAATCATCGGTTGTTTAGTACAGTTAACAATATATATTATTATCATACACGAAAATGTGTTGAAGGCCATGTTCAGGAAACCCATTATATCGAAGCCCAGAACCATTACATCGAAGCCCAGAACCAGAAGATATATCCGGTTCCAGTCATTGAGTGCTAAATTTTTTAAATTAAAATGAAAAATACGTTAAAGCCACAGAAACCCGGGCCATCAATCCTTCCAAAATCAGGGGCAGACTTTATTATATTTCTTGCTATCCACCAGTATGCTTAGCCCTACACACACATTATAAAAGAAAATAAGATTTACAACTGATGTTCAATTATTAGTTCAAGTGGACACACAAAAATAGTAGCAACCAGCTTTACCCATAAATCTACAAGATACTGTAGCACATTCAATGAAATCATAAAGTAGTCTTGATGTCTTGTGCGTTACCCAATTGCTTCTAGACGTTGAGTTCACATTTCTACTTGATCACAAATCACAACCACAATTAAGCAATGTATTCCATATGATAACCCGGGAGATGTTATACAAGCAATAACTAAGTAAAACAAAGTACTCAACAAAAACCAGTTGAAACAAATTGAAGAAGAATAAGATAGGCATATCAAAAGTAGCTGTAAACTTGTATTCAAAAAAAAATATATATATATATATATATAAATGTATATATATAGTAGTTACAAAACCAACTTGTAGAAATCAAGCCATTAAATAAAGGAAACGCAAAGCAGAGAGCTACAATGAGGTTGAATTGATTTGAATTCCATCAGACAGGATAACGGGTATTATATGAGCAAAATACCAAGATACAGTTTCTAAGAACAACCATCTACCCCCTTGTACCAAATCTTTGCTTTATCTAAATAGGGACAGATCTCCATGGATATCAACAATACTGGCACACATTAAATTTCTACGATGAAACTGCAATAGCAAGCTAGTGTATCTCAACAATTGGGTGGATGATTATCTAGGTAAGTTCTTGCCAGCTCAAAAACTCAAGTTACCATGCAAATCTCCCTCTTCTGGGATTCATAAAGAGTACATTACAAACTAAATTCTGTTTAGACTTTTAGATTTGAGCATTAGAAGTCAAAAGTATCCATCAACAATTTGTGCCAGATAACACAGTAGAAATTTAATTATTTTCTGAAAACAAATAAATTATTTATACAATCATGAATTCCCCCCCTTCACTTTTACATTGCTTCCAGATTCAATCACAATAAAATTAGGAAGAAGAAAGTACAACTTTTGTTAACTAACTAGAAAGAGAGATACAAGAAACAACCTTCAATACAAAGTCTAAGCAGCAGCCTCCAACAACTCCCTCTCTGCACGCTCTTTAATCCTTCTTTCAAGCTCCGGCCTAAAATGCCTGATAAGACCCTGCACTGGCCATGCAGCAGCATCGCCCAAGGCACAGATTGTGTGCCCTTCGATTTGCTTTGTCACCTCCTGAAGCATATCAATTTCTTCCAGCTTTGCATTCCCAACTTTCAATCTTTCCATGATCATCCAGAGCCATCCTGTACCCTCTCTACATGGTGTGCACTGCCCACAGCTTTCATGCTTGTAGAAGTAAGAAAGCCTAGCAATAGCATCCACAACATCAGTTGACTTATCCATCACAATCACGGCTGCAGTCCCCAACCCTGACTGGACAGCTTTGAGTGCGTCATAATCCATCAAAACATCATCACATATATGCTTGGGAATTAGAGGAACAGATGATCCTCCTGGAATTATTGCAAGCAAATTATCCCATCCTCCTCTAACACCTCCACAGTGCCTCTCTATCAACTCTTTCAGGGGAATACTCATTTCCTCCTCAACAGTGCAAGGCTTGTTAACATGCCCAGAGACACAAAATAATTTTGTCCCAGAATTGTTCTTCCTGCCAAAGCTGGCAAACCATTCTGGCCCACGCCTTAAAATAGTAGGAGAAACAGCCACTGTCTCCACATTTGTAACAGTGGTAGGACAACCATACAACCCTGCATTGGCGGGGAAAGGTGGCTTTAATCTTGGCTTACCTTGTTTCCCTTCAAGACTTTCCAAAAGTGCTGTTTCCTCACCACAAATGTAAGCACCAGCACCATAGTGGATATGCACATCAAAATCATAGCCTGAGCCACAGGCATTTTTACCCAATAAACCAGCTGTATAAGCCTCTTTCCTAGCCTTTTCCAAGTTTTTCCGCTCATTTACATATTCACCCCTTATATAAATGTAAGCAGCACTAGCCCGCATTCCCACTCCAGCAATTAAGCATCCTTCTAACAATTTATGCGGGTCATGTCGCATAATTTCTCTGTCTTTGCAAGTCCCAGGTTCACTTTCATCAGCATTGACAACAAGATACGAAGGACGCCCATCAGATGCTTTTGGCATGAATGACCACTTGAGGCCAGAAGGGAAACCAGCACCACCACGTCCACGAAGACCAGACTTCTTTATTTCATTTACAATCCAATCAGTCCCCTTAAGTACCAGATCTTTAGTTCGATACCAATCACCCCGTTTCATGGCACCTTTGAGAAAAGGATCATGTAACCCATATAAGTTAGTAAAAATCCTGTCCTCGTCTTTAAGGCCACCAAAATGGGTTTTCTCTGGAGGTGGAGGTGGTGGTGGTGGTGGTGCAGCCTGAGGAGTGCCAGTAGTAGAAGCACCCTGGGTGCTAAATAATCTGAAACCATGACCCCACTTCTCACTATGATATCGGACTAGGGATGTCCTCTGGAGAGAAAGAATGCTTTTCATGGTTTCCTCACAGAAATTTCTATTTACAACAAAACATTAAGGGTTAATGTTAGGGAACCGACAGAAACCAGGTTATAATTCCTATTTACCAAGAGCATTATACTCAAATCAGCTAGAGGATACAGGCCCAATTCCCAACCATTAATTTAATCATATGATTCAAAAACATTACTATATGAACAATGAATCAGTAATCAGACCGAATTGTACAATCAAATTCAAATTCCTGAAAATACAATACGTAATTAGACAATGCTGTCTAACCGAATAAATGGACGCATCTAGATCATCAAACAGTAACCACCATCTACATTCAAAATATGTCTTTTTTCAAGGGGAAAAAAATTAAAAAAACGTCGAAAACAGTTAAAAATCATCAATCAATAACCACCATTCAGGTTAGCCTTTTCAAAGTGAAAACTCCGAACCCTCAAGTCAACATTACAAAATGACAGACTGAAAATTATTAAGAAAACGCATTACGAAATACCGAACACTACGACGGAAGGCGAGAAGCACAGGCGAGGACGGACAAATGCGAACAGGGTAGCGGAGGTGAGAACCGCAGAACGCCAACTGAGAACGACAACAAGCAATGAAATAAAATTGGAGGAATCGGAAACCATAATCATATCAATCAAAGAATTTATTAAATCCCATTAACAAAACGAAAACCGAGACCCGTTTCTAGCCATCCTCACTCTCTATCGCCTCCTCTCTCCTCTATCTCTACTTCTACTCTGCGAATGCAAAGTTCGATCGCACTCTATACGAGAATCAACCACACGCGCGGACACCTCAAACCCTCTCTTTCAACTTTCAAGCCCAAATCTCAAATTGATTATGGTTTAGCCGTTTAGGGCACAAATTTGAACACTGCGACTCAGTTTTGACGAGAGGCAAAAGAAACAACGGAAGACGAGGAAATGAAGAGTCACGTACCCGCGTACAGCTCTGCGATCTGATGCCACTATAGGAGGATCTGGCGCTGCTGCTGAACGCTGCTTTGTAAGCTGAATTAGCATAGGGTGGATTGGGCATATACGGGAGACCGGAGTAGCGTTAATGAAAATAAAAAAAAAAAGAAAAAAGAAAAAATTATTCCTCCATTTCTATTTTTAAAAGTAATTTTTAACTTAAAATATAGAATATTTTTTAATAATTGAACTTTTCTTTTTAATTTTATCCTTCTTAATTAATATGAATGTATTTAATATAGTTATATCAAAATACATATCATTTTTTATGATATCTAAAAAAATTAACTTTTTTTAAGATAAATGAAATGATTGAAAGTGTTCTATAACAAAGATTGAGAGAGAGCACACACAAAAAAATATCTTACATATTTAAAATGCTTGTTTTTAAAAAATTAAGATAAACATATTTTTTGATAAAAAAGATAAATGTATTTTTAGTATATTATTTATTATATAACAATTTTTTATTATTTTTATAGTTAACACTGTAAAATTCATTTATTAACCAAATCATATTAAGCAGGGTAAAATGAAAACAACATAAACGACGAATATACTACTAGTGTTAACATTGTAAACTAGCATTGATGAAAGCAGGGACAAGAATATGGATTTTCCTAAGTTAATGAGTTTTAAATTAATATTAAGTTAATAATTACATGTAATTTGAACTGAACTAAAAAAATCTAACAGTTTTTGAAGACTAATAATAAAGACATGAAAATTATAAATAAAAAATAGTGTAATACACAACATTATGCCATTGCCTTAATTTTTTTTTTTTTTGGGTTATCCCCCATTCGACAAAAGAAATTTACGCACCACTCACCCCCCGGAAAAGTCAAACCCAAAGAGAAAATCACATAATCTTAATTGAACACCAACTTTTCAAGAGCTAAATTTTTAAAACTCGGGAGTTCATGGCAGAACATTGCGTGGCCAGAATGGCCAAGACGTGGCTAACGTCACGTCTAAAAAGGTTCGCATTAAAGTGGGGAAAGATAAATGCTAAACATTTTGTATTTTTTTATCATTTTTAATTACAATTTTGTAAATATCTGTTTTATGTTTAGATTCCAGATGGAAAATTTTTATTGATAGGCAAGCCAACAGAGTTTCCCATCACTTAAAATTAAAAAATGGTAGAAAATTCTCTTGTTTATAAATTATAAGTAGTGTGATCTTTTTAAGAATCTGTGTACTTCCTATTATTTCTTCACACGTTTTTATTGGATTCAATACAAATTCTTCTATTCCTTCATTTTTTTTTCTCAACAATTTCAACATATATTAAATATATAAAATTTTAAATTATCATCTATTCCATGCGTTGCCCAAAAAATTTACATGTAAAAATTGAATATAAAAAAGAAAAAAATTGAAAAAAAAATGTAAGAGATGCTTTCATCTGAAAAATCCGAGGAATCAAACTTAATTGATAGTGAAAAATAATATCCTGTCTTTTCAACTAGGTTAATTCTCTCAACATTAAAGTGACATGAAAAATTATCTAATAAAATTAAACTATTTTGTAATTAATTCATTGCATCTGCTATCTAGGAAGGGGGGGGGGGGAAGCAATAATAACGATGTGCATTAATAACTACATAACACAGATAGAACTGCTCGCCCTAAAAAAATGGCTACCATATTTGTTTTCATCAGCTATCTTGCTACAAGTGCAAGTCCAAGATTGATATTACCACATTGATCGTTTATCTGTAAATCAAAGAAGCCAAAGGAAACTATATCACTAAATAAAATGTAAAAGTAGATTGATAAAAATAATAAATAAAAAAATATTATGAAGAAATACCCCTTGATACACGGAAAATAAACTTCATGTTCTCTCTTCACTATGCACTTAATAAAGGGAAAAGGGAACATACCGAGTGTTAAAATACAACAAATGCAATGAAATTTGTTTTTGGGGGGGGGGGGGATACAATGACAACCATGACAACAGAGGAAAAACTCCAGCTATAATTTTTTTTTTACAGAAAATTAATTTAATTTGGATTAGTCTAAGAAAAATGTATATAGACAAAAATAAATCCAAGTAGAAGCATGCCTGTCTTCTTCCTGAGGTACTATAACTAACGTGCCGCTTTTTCTTTCTACTTAAAAAAGTCATACGGACCCCTCTATAGAGCACAATTATAGGAGTTTGGTCAGTCTGCAGCGGGCCTCCCAAATGTATTACAGTTTATGCTACAGACTCTTGAAGCATTCATAGCCATTGATGCGTCTGCAGTTATATCAGATGAAATAAAACCGAACTCAAGAAATAGCATAACAATTTTTGTCTAGACATAAGAGACATTCTGATGCAAAGTAAGACGACTTCTGATCTAAAATTTGATCATGAAAAGTATGTCTATGCTTTTTTAATCTTTTGGCCTGATACGTCTTTGCTTCAATATATTAAGGATGAAGAGATTTTTCCAGAAAAGGGTAGAGAGTTTGATACAAGAGAATAACACTTGCTGACATTGGAGAAAAAAGTCTCCCTAAACTAAGAATGTTACTAGTATTGTTAGTATGAAATGCTTAGCCCACATCAAGTAATATTGGAAAAATATTTAAATAGATTGGTTCTCCTACGTCAATATCTAATTATTGGTTGACTGCTCAATAATCAGTATGAGAACTCATAGTCAATGACTTTGGAAAAGGCTTCCAGTGGAGGGATTTGACCAAAGAAGAAATCAAGTATTTAAGTGAGTTGGCACCACTGCTCCAATATCTACTATTGAGATACCAACCCAGTTGAGTGCCTATGGTACAACTGTACAAGAATCTAGATCTTAGCTCAACTAATCATATAAATCACCTAACATTGATGCCAAAACAAATGGCACTAATATACATCAGCATCTAGTTGCATGAGCTATTAACGAATTGAATATACTCAACTTACCCAGAAAAATCAGAATGGAGCCTCAAGTGATTCATCCCAGACATCTCCACTGGCATTTGAAGCATCCTCACCATCCTCTTCCATAGAAAGCCTAATGTACTCTCGATGTGCAAAACGATCCCACTCTGTCAAAGTTGGATCCTCGCGTTCCTTACAAAATACCCACCTTAAAGTCAGAATTGAAAAGCTAACTGTGCCAAAAGAAAGCCTTGAATGGAGAATGGACTGGGATCTAACAGCCTGCTTTTACCTGGCGTATGAGGAATGGATCACGGGTTTCAAAAGCAATGAACTTGTTGAGGTTGAAAAGAATATTGAAAACATTTCCAGAAAGTTTGCTGGATTTCACATCTTTTAATGTGATATATCCCTCATTCTGCATAAATACTTTGGTCAGCGCTAGCTATGCGGCAGAAGGATGAAAACAGTGACAACTAGGGAAAAAAACCAAAGATGTATGAATAAGAAAAATAAAAACCTCTGGTCCTATCATATCAACTATCTGACATAATATGTCTTCAAAAAGCACTGATTCTTGGGCCATGCATTCCATTCGATGCAACTGCTCCTCATAAAAGAACAGCAATTCATTTGAGGTAAGTATTCCATTCCCATCCAAATCAATGCATTTGAACCTATTATGACAGAAGTAGAAGTTAATTTCTATTCGAAGAGGCTGCAATTCTTATGGAAGGGGAAATGACGAAAAATTTGGTGAAGGGAATATAGCCTCATGAACTCGATTCAAAACATAGAGACTTCAGTCCATATGCAAATCAAGACATTTTGTGTAAGCAAGCTCCACTAGATCAACAAGTATTAAAGTTCTGGTGCTGAGAATCTCATTATTTATGTTCTGGTTGGTAGGTCTATGTTTCATGTACCCAATATCTCAAATCCTAACTCTCCCCACATCCCAACAACAGAACTTGTCCAATAGACAAACTCATCTGGCAAATTAATAGGGACCCAAGTACCTATATCACTTACAGTAGAAAGAAGAAGAGAGCAATGACAGCGGAGAGTAGTGGGTAAGTGGATGAAACAGTAGTAAAAAAGATGGTACATAGGTAATCTTGTGTTCCTAGTTCAAGTCCTTATTCTGTAGATAGGAGTAATTATGCAGTAGTTTATATAATGTTCTGTTGTTATCACATTCAGTCATGCGTTAGGCGCAGTTATGCAGCAGTTCAGGATTCAGTTATGTGCTAATGAATAGCAATAGTGAGGATGCTGTAGGTGTTTTATGCATTTGATTATCTTTGTATTGGAGATTCTCCCCTGTTCTATGGAAGATATTGTTTTTTTTTTTTTTTTTTCAGATTCTCGCATTATTTCCTTCAAGGGAATTTTCACCTAATTCCTCTTCTTTAGATTACTTAGTACCTATCACAAAAAAGGTAATAAAATTTATCTAAGGAGGTACACCATACGAATGCCACATTGTCACATCCTTTGCAACGCAAAAGGTGCGAGAACATATAATGTTCTATAAATTTGTCCATACGAAAAGTCAACCTCAATTTTTGGAATATTATATACATAAATGCATGTGTTGACTCTTGTGCGTGAACATTCTGGACACACAAAAGGGGAAAGAAACTAACATGATGTACAGCATGACCAAGACAAACCTTTCTTTCCAATTGAAGTTATACGTTAACTTCATAAATAAACCTATTAACAAGCAATTACTGCAATACACATGGTTAAATAATAACTATTCTCTAGCAGAAGCCAAGAAGCCTTTTTCTTCAACATGTTGACAGGCGTATTGAAAAATCCAAGTATTCTAGAATAGATTAGGGAAGACCGGCTAGTACTAAATTCTACTGGAAACTGCTATCATAGTGAGTGACGCACTTCAATTTTTTTTTTAATAGGCCAGAGTACAATCCTTATAAAAACGTCAAATTATTTTATTTTCAATTTTAAAACTCCTGACCATACAATAATTAAAGAAAGATCTTTTCATAACTTTAGAGACAAAAAGTGGAGATGGAAAACTTCCTTCTTGCTCTCTTTATTTAGTATTGACCGAGTAAACCGGTAAAAAAAAAAAACAAGAAGAAGAAGTATTTCCAATTTACACCTTTCTTTTACCTTCCATTCCACATTAAATCCTCTTTAAAATATGTCAGAAGAATATGATTTGTCTTTTTAATCACCCAAGTGGGAACATGGCAGCAAAATTTCATAACATAGTATATACAAGGGTCCCCAGAATCTGAGAAGGTGAAGTATACCAGTACTCTAAACTAGGTTCAGATGACTTGTCCTCCTCAGCAAGTATGAAGTAAACAAAATCTTCATAACTCATCTTCCCTTCAAGTTTACTGGTAAATTTCCTTGGAACCTAAGAGACAAGACCAAAAAAAAAAACAGGAAAAGGAAAGAAAAGGAAGAACTATGATCAAGAAACTTCTTTGGGCCTGGTAAATCTCAACTTCAAATATCAGCCGTGATCCAACAAACCTGGGAAAAAATTCTATCAACAATCCTGTAGGTAAGAGCATGGTTTCCATATCTAATAAGGTTCTCTCTATCAATAAAAAAGTCATGGTCTGTGTCGAGCTCCCAAAATTTGCAGTAAATGACATAAAAATGCTCATATGAGAAGTACCTGAAATTCAGTAAGAGAATCAAATAAACTTGGAAAAAAGAAAAAGAAAAGGAAAGAAAGAAAGAAAGCAAATTACAATTCAGAAGAGTTACAAAAATGGAAAAATAATCAACCATGGGACTCAGTGGTTGCTTGGTTGTAGCCTTGGAGGTAAGTACAGAGAGGAAGTCAAACTTCCCAAGTAATGAAATTATCCCTACTTGGTTCACTAATAGCCTTGCCTTCCCAGGAAGATAAGCCTCACACTTCCGTCACAACTAGGGGAGTAACTTACTGAGTAAAACCCAGGTAAGTTCTACTTCGCCAATATTTATTGTATATTTACAAACTTACCCTTTAACATTATAAAATCAAATCCAATTAAAAGGATATTATTGTCTTTATCATTAAAAAAATATATTATATTTACTTAAAAATAATTAGACATCTTGGGAACTTAAATAATGAAACAGTCATTTATGTAGCCTCCAAGAAGTATACTTCCCAGAAAGTTAACTTCCTGAGAAGTTCAATCAACCGAACCAAACGACCCCTTGAACATATTTGGGCTAGACCCTTCATGATTTAACTTAAGTAAAGCACAGCAGCTAACAAGAACGTAAGGAAAAAATTGTCTCCGCCATACAAGTACAGAAAAAATACGGAACTAAGACCTCTATTATTTTCTCAACAAGGATCAAGGCGATGATTTCACAGGAGTCAAAGCTTGAAATCCATAGAAGAAAATTTCCAGAATATAAAATTCCGTTTATTTTCACAAATTGTTAGCCAATGGCTTTACCTCAGAATTTTGTTTATGTCCTCTTCCTCATCTGCATGCTGCATGGCAGCAATTAGGTTCCCGCGTTTTAACTCCCGGAGGGTGAGCCTGCCATTTCCTGATCGATTCATGTAGTAGAAAATTCTATATATGACTGTCTCCGCTGTTCAATCTCAAAACACGAAGCAGTGAGAAATAACCCAAGAAATTAGCATATTTCGGCACTAGAAATCAAATTTAGACTTGAGGAGGTGTTACATAAGATGTAAGCATAATTTATTTCAACACAAACTAGCACTGAACGGGGATCATTTATATGTGCAATCATTTGTAGCAAGTGAAAACCAGTTATAAAACAATTAAATATAGATGTTACAGGTCAAGTAAGAAAATAACACAAGTCACATCCTTTTCTTATTTGTTATTGAGCTACATCAAAATGTTGCCCCCTTATTTAGTATAGATTTTTTAATTTGAAACATTATATGTCCGCACCGGCTTTAATAACAGAAGTTCTGTCTTCAGAATGAGTAGCTTTTGTTTTAGCGCACATACATACATACATATATATATATATATAATCAAGTACAGAAACTCGTTAGAATGTTACCATATCCCAATCAACCATCTTTTACAATACTTTATGTATTTATATATTTTTACACAATGATAGAGTCATCTAAAAGATTACAGACATCTAACTTTACAGAATTCATATGTTCTATACAGCTTGGCAGAAAAAAAGGAGGGAAAGAGAAAAAAAAACAGGAAAGGACAAACCCAGACAAATTTATACATTCATACAACATTAATTCTAGATTCTAATTCCTTTCCCTTTTTTAAAAAATCTTTTTAAAAACATAAATAGAGTAAAATACACAGCAAGAGGAAATTGCAACTGGAAGCATATCCAAACTATAATTTCAATTTCAATTTAGTAAATCTAAAGAAAGTCGTCTGAATGCTATACAGACTCCCTTTTGTCAAACAACCCAGTCCCCATTTGGGCAATTTTGCTGAGTCGATTTCTCATGTCAGCAACCCAAAATTCTAAAAGCCTCCTATGGATTAGGATGTGAAATTATGCTGTACAGAAAGGCAATGTATGTAGCTTTTCTCAAAATTCTCTCATTAAGAGTATGCAAACACTAGAGCGTTGTCAGTAGTTAAAAGTTTCATTTTCAATCCTTAAGAGTCTTCTAGCAGGCCTTAAGCAAAACCTGCGTGTTTAAGGTACAACTGCATGTATTCAACTTCTCTAGATTTCCTTTTAATTGTTTCCTTTTACCTCAGTGTGTTAAGTTTAACTTCCTGCCCAAAAACATGCAGTTTTCCACAAAGTACGAGCCTAAGTTGCAAGGTAGGGGTATGGTTGCAGTATGTGACGGTTTATAAATTGGAACAGAAAATACTTTAAATCAACAAATTCAAAATTAATAATAAATACAAATACCCATAACGTATAGTATCTCAATCAATAAAACAAGTATTATAATAAACATTTATAATGCATAATCTAATAACAAAGTAATTTAACAAATTCAGTATTCACCTAATTGTCCAAAAATAAAATTTTAAATGCTAAAGCAAGACCTTCAAAAAATAAAAATAATTAACTTCATATGATTGGATTTACTGTAGTCATTATTACTGAGTACTAATGTTAAGCCATAACTAAGGATATTGCATGATTTAATTAATAAGTTGACCTGCAACATGCTAAGAAATTATTAGCACTGCCAAATAGCACTCTCATCACGTCACTATGGAAGACTGGCATTGTCCCAAAAAACCATAGCCCCTAACACATCGAGAAAGTTAAGAGGTCTAGAAAGAAGGCACTGCTGAAAACATTGTAGCCTTGCAAGAAAAGCAGAGACATGGATTTTGAGATATAAAATTAAGGAACACAAAAACAGAGAATCAATGGAGTGAAACTCACAGCAAGTTGAAGGAGAAGAATGATAATATCAGTGGTAAAGAAAACAGTACTGATGGTGTATGTATATCATTCCCCATGCTTCATAGCCTTGTTCTAAGGACACACCAGTTTCTTTCAAAGACTAAATTGCAAAAGTTATATTAAAGCAATTTTTAAATCACTTTGTTAGTAGATTTAGCTGTCTTTCACATTATCCACACACTGACGTGCCCACAAAAAGAGTCAGCCCACACCCCAAAAACAAAAAATTCCAAACCAAGAGATTAAGGAGGTTATATCTCCGTTGGATAGTTTTATAGACTCTATAGTCAGAGACCTTCAACAGAAATTGGCCCAAAACAGCAAACATGTAGAAGACCTTCCAGTTCTTTTCAAAAACATTATGTGATAACATGTGATTAAAATATCATTGGACAACAGATATAGAGAAAATAGAAGACACTAAAACCAACGTTGTTGCTCAATTAAATGGCAATACCATATCTTTCCTGAAATTCAGGTGTGCTTTGCAAAAATTCCAACCCTGGATGAGTTGCTAAAAGTTCCCTTAAGACAGGTTTAAAATCATCCTACATCCAAAATGGAAGGCATAAGGGCAAATCCCATACATTCAAGCATGTACTTGGTAAATAATATTAAGATAACGCATAGCAATAACATTAGGAGTTGCATGACATTTTTTAATACAATGCAAACCTGCAAAAGGTATGTTCTATCTGGATGCTTCAGTATGGTATATATTTGCGTGGCCAAATCCATAGTTAACATATTACCCTGAATCCAATACTCAATAAATTGATCCCTACAATATTTCATAAAGTGAAAGGATCAGCTCAACAGGAAGTAATCCTATGGCCAAATGGTGCAATCATACAGCTTGTCAGAAAATGAGATCTCCAATAAGTAATATTTTTTTGCTGAAATTAAACCTTTCAATTCTATATAGAGTTCACAAATGACCCAAGGTAAGACTTTGGTGAAAAGAACAATTACAGGAGATTGCCACAGTTAAAGTGTAAAGTGCTTCTAACATTAAATTCAAACTTTAGGCTAAACAATCTAAAATAAGCCTTCTCAAGACAATTTAAAATCACCTCCTACCAAATAGCCAAAACATCAATGAGGATAGCTTTTTCAATGGGTTTATAAAACATCCAAACAATATAAAAAAATTACATGAATTAGATTGGTGAACACTTGATCTGAAGATAATGTTACAGATATTAGAGATTTATGAAAGCCATATAGTTTAATAGTTACTAGTAGAGAACCCAAATATTAAGGATTTTGGATTATTAAGGACTCAAATAATTATTGTAGGTTAAGAAGAGTCAGGTTTAGGACAACCAAAGTAAAGGGTAAAAATGTGTCAGCGTGGTCATAATTTTATGCGCACATCAAAAATAAATCTAAATAATATATTTTGTTTAGTATATTCCTAATCTACCATACTTCTGTACTTCCACTTTTCTCAACAGTTACTATCTATTTCCCCTATGGGAGGAAAGGAGGGAAATGGGAATCACCACCCAGAAGCATTAACCCAAAAAGTGAACACTTGGCAGAAGCTCACTCTAATTGCCAACGTCTTCTTGCAGCTCTATTTCCCATATCATTCAACCATCAGCTTTGTTACATCCACAACTACAAACTCTAGGGAAATATTAAAATTAAAAATTCAGAAAGTTCATCTAATGCAGTGATCCAGACAGATGAAGTGGAAATTAATACCTTGTTATCGTTCCTGTAAAATTGACATCAATTTTTTTGAACAGAGCAGTGGAGCAAAATGAGGGTAGTTTGCAGATTTCTTTGGTGACAGACTTAAATTCTGCAATAATAGAAGCCAAATTAACAGGAAAAATTAAAGATTAAAACTTCTCTAGAGAACTAAAAGTCTAACAGATTTGCAAAAACTGATCAACTCATAGAATATCATGTTCTCATTCTCACCATGCAATTGCAGACCGTCCACATGACCATAAAAATGATGATCAATTTGAAACAGGAAATGCTCTGTCACCTCATTTGGAGGTGGACGCCCATTTTTAAAATAGAACTGCAAGAATATTCAGAGCACAGTTAATGAATTACAAGCAATTAACTTATCAAAGTTTAGAAGAGAGTAGTAAATACCGGCGGGATAACTTCTCGTACAGGATCACTGACTACTTTTAGTGGAGAACCTAATGAAGAAGGACTAGCTCTCTGTTTCATGGTACGTGGGGAGCCAGATGAACTGCGAGGTGAAAGTGGAGGTGTACTCCCAGCAGGAAACATGGAAGGCAATGAGTTACTTCCCACAACATTTGTACTTGTGTTCCCAACTGCGCTCAAAGGAATACCTGCTTTTGCATCGGCAAGCATAGACTTAACCTGTGTACACAACATATCAATAAATAAGTTACAGCTACACATACCTTTGTGTGAAAGAAAATATACAACAGAGTTCAGAAGAACAAAATGATTAAGAAAAAGGACAAAAGAGAGAAGGATGTTAAGGAATATTTGAAACTAGATTAAAAATATTAACTTTAACACCGCATAATCCAACAAATTCCCAAAGAACATTAAATCTGCAAAGAAACAATATAGCTTAAATTCACCCATGCAAAGGCCAAGGAGGAGAGTCAAAATGATTCCAGCACAACCAAATAATAAGTTCAAAAATAAATAATTAATCTTATAGATTTTCCTTAACGCTTAAAAATTTCAGTTCCAGCACAATGATATTTTAGTAATTAAAATACAAATCATTATGTCAAGAGTAGTAATATGGCCTACCTTTCATCACTGTAACATATAAATTTTCAAAGCATAAACGACATATTTGAATTAAAAAATTGACCATGATAATAATCATATTTCAAATCTTAAAAAAATCATGAACAATTTCATTAAACTTTTCATTTTTTTTCTTTCAAAATACCTAAAACCCACTGAACCTTTTCATGCTCTTCAACCAAAACTATCTCAGAGTTCTCTTTCAAGCATCGCAGGAAAAGAAAGAAAGAAAGAAACCACACATACGCATCTTCATTTTATACTTATATAGTTGTGCATGAAAATTGTCATTTCACAATAAAGTTCATAAGTATATTGCTGATTTCATGTGCAAGAAAAGTCTGTATCCATATGTGGAAATATACTATATTTAATGTAAATATCTGATAGTTATTATAAGATCAGATATATTAGGAAGCTTTTCATTTTATTCTCTCTATCCCTCATTTCTCGACCATATATCTCGACCATATATCAGCTGAGTATGTATATATGTATGCAACCACCCACTGTATAGTTTACTCAGTTTTTTGCTCAGTAAATCTTCATGGTATCAGAGCACAAAGAAGAACGAGCAACTAAATCATCAGAGACGAACATGGACTCGAGCTCTCAGCCTGAGACTCACCGAAATACAGAGTCGTCTGGCTTGGAGAGTTCGTCCGTTGCGAGCTCGCGTCAAGTCGCACACCTCGTGACTGGCCAAGAAAGCTCACTCGTCTCTCTCATCTCAGAAAAACTCACCGGTGTCAACTACCGAGAATGGGCCCAAACGGTGCAGCTCGCGGTAGAAGGTCGTGGCAAATGGGAGTACGTTTTCGGTGAAACCCAGTGTCCAGAGGCAACGAATGTCAAGGCTCTCAGGCTCTAGAAGACCAAAAACTCAATGGTATGCTCATGGCTGGTTAATTCAATGGCACCGGCTGTGAAGAAGAGTTTTTTATTTCTCCCAACAGCTCGGGAGATATGGGACGCTGTGAAGGAGGCATGCTCAGATGGGGAGAATGCTTCTCAAGTGTTTGAGATTAAATCCAAGCTATGGCTCATAAAGCAAGGTAATCATGACCCAAGTGAATATTACCTTGAAAAAACTGCTCTATGGCAGGAACTTGATCTGATTACTGCTGAAGAATGGACCAGTTCTGAGGGTGCTGCTCGGTTCAGAAAACGGCTGGAGAAAGAACGACTGTATGAGTTGCTAGTCGGACTTAATTCAGACTTGGATGATATTCGTGGCAGAATTCTGAGTGTGGAACCTTTGCCATCTGTCCGTGAAGCCTTTGCAATGATCCGGAGGGAGTACTCCCGAAGGAAGGTAATGTTGAAAGACGAACCCATTTCTCAAACCAGTACTTTTGAATCATCTGCCCTTGCTGCCAAGTCTAATGATCCTAGAAGCACTAAAGGACATCCCACGTGTGAACACTGTAAGAAAGTGGGCCACACAAAGGATAAATACTGGGACCTCCATGGTAAGCCACCCGACTGGAAGCCAAGAAAGGGAAAAAGTTGTGGATATGTTGCTGAAAGCTCCATGGGAAATGATAACTCACAGCCCTCAAATGATCAACTAAGTAAGATCATTGAAATGCTGTCAGCCCTACAAACTAATAAGCAACCTATTGCTAATGTGGTACAAAGAGGTAATTTTTCTAAAGCCTTGGCTACTATTAAAAGAGTATGCATTGGAGATTGCTGGATAGTAAACTCAAGCGCGTCAGATCATATGACTGATAATATTAAATTATTTACAACCTATGTACCTTGCCAAAAGAACTTTACAGTCAAGATTGCTGATGCATCAGAGTCGGTTATCTCTGGTATAGGGAGTATACAACTCTCATCTACTTTAACCTTACATCATGTTCTGCATGTGCCTAATTTAAAATGTAACTTACTCTCAATAAGTAAATTGGCAAAGAATGAAAAATGTCATGTTGATTTCTTTGCTACTTATTGTCTTTTCCAGGATCTACTGACGGGGATGACGATTGGCAGTGCTAAGGAATTTGATGGTCTTTACTACCTGGATGGAAATAAAGTCAGTAATGTTAGGTCATGAAATAAAGTGTCTCCCTAAGACTAGTGAGTTGGAATTGTGGCACAAACGTCTTGGTCATCCTAATTTCAATTATATGTCAAAATTATTTCCTTTAATTTGCAATAAAAGTGATTATTCTCAGCTCTATTGTGACTCTTGTGAAAAAGCAAAACACCATCATATTTCCTTTCCTAATCAGCCATACATTGCATCAAAGCCTTTTACAATCATTCACAGTGATCTATGGGGGCCCTCTCGGGTCCCTAATAGGACTCACTCAAAGTGGTTCATTACCTTTATTGATGACCATTCTCACGTTACTTGGGTGTTCCTTCTAAAAGACAAATCTGATGTTTCTCAGGTGTTCATTGATTTCTATCATATGGTAAAAAATCAGTTTCACACGTCTATTCAAACACTTCACACTGATAATGGCACAGAATACTTCAACAAACATCTCTCCACCTTTTTACTTTCCAAAGGAATTGTTCACAAAAGTACCTGTCCTTACAGTCCTCAGCAGAATGGTATTGCTGAAAGGAAAAATAGGCACATTCTTGAAACAGCTCGTGCACTTCTCTTTAGCAGCCATGTTCCTAAATATCACTAGGATAATGCTGTCCTAACTGCAACCTTCCTTATTAACCGCCTTCCCAATCGCACCTTGTCATATAAAACTCCCATTGAAGTTCTACACCAAACTTACAATCTACCCTACCTGAAAATACTTTACCCTTACGAGTATTTGGATGTACTTCCTATGTTCATCTTCATCACACAAACAAACTTGACCCCAAAGCTGTCCGATGTGTTTTTCTTGGTTACTCTGCCACTTAAAAGGGGTACAAGTACTTTGATCCCATCATTAAACGTATCTTTACCACCTGTAATGCCACCTTTCACAAAACAGAATCCTTCTACTCCCGATCTCCAATCCAAGGGGAGAATTGGAATGAATTGCAGATTGGCATGGGTGAAAACATGAGTGAAATACCTAAAACACCCAACCTTATAGCTGTACCTCATCATTTGTCTCTTGAACTCACTGATCTTGATTTGGACCTAGGAATTGAGAACACCAATACTAGAAATGATATGCCAAATCCTAGTCCAAAGGAGATGTCCACAACAGGGGGAGACACTACATTTGCACAGACCTATACACGAAAAAACAAGACAGGTAAACAGACCCATATCTCAAGCACTGACCAAGAGTCAGAACCAAATGTAGGTCCAAAAGAAGATAATGGAGGAAGTCTGGAAGAATCAGGTGGTAAGGATGATATTGACCTACCGATAGCTATGAGGAAGAAGCCGAGAGCCTGTACTAGGCATCCTATCGAGAGGTTTGTGTCTTAATCAAGCATTGTCTGCTAAATTTTTTGGATTTACCGCCCATTTGGACAGTGTTACAGTACCAAAGAACATTGAAGAGGCTATGGCCGTACCTGAATGGAGACAAGCTGTAATGGAGGAAATGGAGGCATTGACAGACAACAATACTTGGGATGTAGTAGAATTACCTCCAGGAAAGAAAGCAGTTGGATGTAAGTGGGTCTTCACACCTAAATACAATGCTGATGGGACTCTAAACAAACACAAAGGGAGACTTGTCGCTCAAGGGTTCTCCCAAGTGTATGGTATAGACTACACGGAGACATTCACACCGGTAGCCAAACTCAATACTGTTAGAATAATTCTATCACTAGCAGCCAACCTTGATTGGCCATTACATCAATTAGATGTAAAAAACACCTTCCTAAATGGTGAGTTGAAAGAGGAAGTATATATGAAGTTGCCACCAGGGTTCCCAGGAAATAAACCGAATCAAGTGTGCAAATTGAAGAAGTCCTTATATGGACTAAAGCAGTCTCCGAGAGCGTGGTTTGAGAAACTCACACGGGTACTAAAAATGGCAAGGTTCAAACAAGGTCAAAGTGATCACACGATGTTCTACAAACACCGAGGCACTAAAACTACTGTTTTGTTGGTTTATGTGAATGATATGGTTCTTACAGGCGATGATGCTGAGGAGATTGAAGATCTTAAAAGGGCATTGGCTCAAGAGTTTCAAATAAAAGATCTTGGAAAAATGAAGTATTTTCTGGGCATGGAGGTAGCAAGATCCACGAAGGGAATATCTATTTCTCAAAGAAAATATGTGCTAGATCTCTTAAACAAGACTGGCATGCTTGGGTGCAGACCTAGTGATACACCTATCCGAGTTGACAAGATAAGCAATGAAGAGAATCTTGGCAAGTCTGTTGATATGGGCAAGTATCAGCGTATGGTGGGAAAATTAATCTATTTGTCACATACTAAGCCAGACATCGCCTTTGCAGTTAGCATGGTGAGTCAACATTCACATGACCCCAAGCAAAAACACTTGAATGAGGTCTACAAGATTCTCAAGTATTTGAAAGGTACTCTTGGAAAGGGTTTATGGTTTAAGAAATCTGAGAAGCGTGATGTGGAACTCTACACGGATGCAGATTGGGCAGGTGATCAAGAGGATAGAAAATCTACATCTGAATACTGCACCTTTGTTTGGGGAAACTTGGTTACTTGGAGAAGCAAGAAGCAAAGTGTAGTAGCCCGTAGTAGTGCAAAAGCAGAATTTCTAGCTATTGCTTTGGGAATTTGTGAAGGTATATGGATTAAAAGGGTGATTGAGGAACTAAAAAAGGATGTTAACCTACCTATCACTCTGTATTCAGACAGTATGGCAGCAATCAGCATCTCACACAATCCAATCCAACATGATAGGACCAAGCATGTTGAGATAGATAGACACTTTATCAGAGAGAAGATTGATACTGGCATCATCCAAATGAGACACATACCAACAAGGGAGCAAACAGCTGATATTCTCACCAAAGGCTTGAGTAGAGATAAGTTTGATTATTTCATCAGCAAGTTGGACATGATTAACATCTATGGTCCAACTTGAGGGGGAGTGTGGAAATATAATATATTTAATGTAAATATCTGATAGTTATTATAGGATCAGATATATTAGGAAGCTTTTTATTTTATTCTCTCTATCCCTCATTTCTCGGCCATATATCTCAGCCATATATCAGCTGAGTATGTATATATGTATGCGACCACCCACTGTATAGTTTACTCAGTTTTTTGCTCAGTAAATCTTCACCATATGATCATATACAGGCAACACCAAGGATCTCAAAAATATCACATTTTCGGAAGTTAGGGAACTTTTATCATCACTCCTGTTAATATTATGTTAAGCATTAATTCCAAGAGAAAGCTATAATTATAAAATAAAATTCCATGTCTCTTCTCACAAGTAGTAAACAAGCAATTACAACTTTTTGGTTAACCAATTTACATGGATCTCAGCCTCACCAACCAGTTGGCACCCTGGCCTAGTCTTGAAACCTAAGTGATTGAAGATTCACTTCAATGAAAATCCCCTTGATCATTACTCTCTTTCTCTCATTATCAACTCAATGTTTATGAAAAAGGCTTTTCATTTTTCTGTCATCAGTTACAAATCCATAACTTATCACACACACACACACACAGGCTTCTCAATTCGCCAATCATGGAAAAACGTTTCAATAAAGCATAAACATGTCGCCTAGCTACCTATTTTCTTAATCATTATTTAGTGCATGGTCATAAATATATTCCTCTATAAGATCATATAAACAAGAACTCAGTAGTCCAGTCACGCGCAAAAGGTATTCATATCTTATTAGTCTTCACATGCAAGAAGACTAAGGAAATACCAGGAACTATAAAGATAGCATAATAGATTGAGGATTGAACATTCATATAATTTTCCCCACATATCACCAAAAGTCCCCAGTCTTTGAATCTGGATTGAACTAATTTAAATTTCTTATATCTGCAACCACATATCGCTCTAAAAAATATAGTAATTTAACTAAAACGTGTATATCTTTCTGCACTTGAATATTTCCAGGTCAAATAAAATACAGCGACTGTAGAGCACGTCTTAGGACTAAATTGAATGTTTTCTGCTTCACAAGTTAAATATGCAGATGCAAACTATTAGAGAGACATGTAGAAGCCCAAGCAGCACTCCAGGTAACAGCTCAAGAATGAAATGCCCATAATAACTGCTAGTGCTAGTGCATAAATCATTTATGATAAAAAATAACCATCTTTGGAATCCAAACTATAGTTAGAAGCTTGCTGTTATAAATCTTCTATGATTAAGCATGATACCATAACAAGTATAATAACACCTGCCATTCCCCAAATAGAACTTTTTAATCAATGATAATTGACGTGAACACACAAAATGAGATATTTATCTCTTCTATGGGAATATAAAATATGTTCAGCATAGATGCATCTAACGTGGCATATATAGAAATGACGTTTTAGGGAAATTCCTATCATAATGTGGTTAAAAAGTTATCCTGAAGGTGAAGGAAATCATCTAAACTTAGAAAACAGTAAGATTTTCTATTATGGTCAAAGTTAGAAATAGAGAATGCACCTTTTCAATTGCCGGATAATTGGCAACCTAGAAATACATCAAGGCATCAACTAGCAAATATGGAAAAAAGGGTCATCAATATGTGACTAGTACATTAAATTAGCAAACCAGGGTAGTTCAAATAACTCAGTACTTATTAAATCAGGGCCCTTGCAGGATCAGACTTCTACTAGATTCAAGATAGCTGCTCTAAACGTTTAGTCTTACATCAATAACAAGGTCAACTCACATGTCCTACTTTTAGTTGGAATCTCAGCATTATGAGACATACAGGACGACATGACTCATGAAACAAAGGGGACTAAAGTTATCGAGCTTGTGATGACACCTCAGCTTGAATATTAACAAAAAAACTACTAGAAAAAGAAAGGCCACTTGAGGCACCATGAGTTGTCTGTTTCATACATTCAAAAATAGGATCAGGAACCTTCTATTTAATGGTTGTTTCTTTCAAACACAGGAAGAAACTATTACAAGTATGGTATTTTCAGGGGAGAGTAGAAATCCAGCTGACAGAGATGGAATGGACTATTTCTGTACAGGAGACGAGTTGGTAAGTGGCAGGCAATGCATTTGAGGCTGTTTTAATGTGCATGGAAGCTACTTCACATGGAAAGAGAGGAAAGCTCCAACAAAACTGTTTTGATTTTCCAGATAAGAGCACAGCCAAAAAGTTAATGTTTTAATTAGGCCAGGCTAACTTGAACTATTGCGGTCAAGTAGAAACGAAATAATACAGATCGGGGATCATAATTGATCGTTATGCGGAAGAGTATATCGTTTTAGTTACTTTACATTGAACGGTGTCTTATGTTACATTTGTCAGATTTTGGACAGCTCTGACCACAAAGACTTTGATTTTCCGAAATGAAACTCACATATTCTTAAGAAGATAACAATTTAACAAGCAACCAATATGATAGCATTCTACAAGGATCCTCATTGTATCATCTCCTACAAGAGTGTAAACACGCGGAAATCAAATTTATACATAAAAAATTTAGTTCAGTCAGATCAACTATGTACCAGGCGACTAGTATCTGGCAGCGAAAGCCATTGTGAGAATAGCTCCTCAGCAATACAAGGACTAGCCTTCAGTGCAAAAGGTGACACCTCTGGAAGCTGCAACATGTCTGGGTCCAACAACAACGCATCCTCAGTTTCCTCTATGTTCATCGTAGATCAATTCTGTCTCTCATACACTACCCAAAATTATCACCACAGAAAATAACAACAGAAACCCTAAACCCCACTTTTCAACCAGCAGTCTTCTTCTCCTTCAACGCTTTTTCTTCGGCTAATAAAACCCAGTTACAATTTAGCAACTAAAAGCGGGGGGGAAAACTGTAGAAAACATGTATAATGAGATGAGAACCGATAAGAGTCTTCAATTTCCTTCACTCCACAGCTTCCACAAGATAATTCAGCTTAGAGCCAGAAATTAAGAATTCGAAACAAAAAAAAAAAATAGAGAGGAGGACAGAGATTATGATTTGGGAAGAATCAGAGAACAGACATTTTCAAGGAGAAAGCAGAAAATAAAAATGAAATCGATAAAATATGAGGTTTTAGATACGACTTGAAGGGAGAAAAGTGATGCAAATGAGATAAACCCTCTTTTTGGTTTTTTGAGGATTAACGCGGAAAGGAGAAGAAATCGAGTGACGCAGCCGCGGTGAAGTTGGGAAAAGAAAGCGAGAGATAGACAGCTAAAGCATGAGAAAGTAGCAGTAAATGGGCACGCACTGTAGCAACTGAAATTAGAGAGTCTCATTCATGTGAGTGAGACTCGGCAAGAGTAAACGATTGCGGATGGACTCCGAACTAGGGAAATTTTTAAAATTTTAAATTTTTATCGCGCTGGAGAAAATAAACAACAGACTATATTTATTTAAAATGTAAAATTATGCGATATAAATAGTATCTTTGCTAGACATATTTTCTAATTACATTCATTTGGATCATAATTTCTTCCTATTCTATTTATAATTTACTTTAACATTTTATAATTTACTTTTAACATTTTGATTGAAACTTAAAAAAAACCTTTAAATTTATGACTAAAAATTCAATAATTTTTTTATTTTACCCTCATGAAATATATATATTTTAAACTTAAAATAATTTAATATTTAATAATCTTTCTAATACGTAATAAGAATAAAGAATAAAGGTAGACATAATAATTATTGAATTATTTTATAAATAAAATTAAAATAAATACCTTTTCCATAAAATAAGAAGAGAAGGTAGCTAATTATAATTCTTTTTTTTTTTTGAAATGTTTTTTTTCTCAGACAATCTACATTTAAATCATCATTACAATACAAGAGAATATGAAAATAGAATTGGTGTATAAAAATGGAAAGCATGTCACAAAAAGTATCATGCTAATTAATAACATCTTAATTTAGATCACATGGAAAGAGAATATGGAGAATCGCATTCAAGATCCTTGAAAAGAAAAAAATTTGCATAAATGGTCCAATACATCCTGAATCTTCCCTGAAAGCCGAAAGGACTAAATTGATATTAATTTCTCACATCAAATGATGGAATTGCCTCTTATTTGACAAATTGAAACCATTGAGATCCTCTATCATAAAGAACCTAGAGTTCATTCCTCTTAACCTCATAATCTCATCAATGTCAGATCGAAGCCACTTTCTCTAATATTGAGAGTCAAAGGTTGCCGTCTTGTGAGTTAATTAGGAAAAAGCAAAGGAGATTGATATCATATCACTCATATGAGCGTTGTTGGAACCATTCTTGCAGATGACTGTAGCAAATTTCAAAGAGCTCATTATTTGTGTGATTGGAAAATTTTGAAAGAATTCCATCATAGTGATTTAGTGGAAGTTTATCTTGTATTATTGTTTTGTTTTCATTTATGTGTGTAGTTATGTTGTGTCAGTGTACATTTTTTGATGGTATTTGAAGAAGGAGCTTAGCGAGTGAATCTGAAGTCTGTATTTTACAAAAGGTAGATGTTGAACTCTTGGGATCAAAATTTTTTCCCATTAGTTGAAATGGAGTTCGTGAAGTGAAAATTAGAATGTAGTGTTTTAAAAACCTGAATTGTAATTGTAAATTCATAAATTGATAAAATTTTGGTATGGAATATATTGAAAGTGAAAACTACCTAGAAAAAATTGAATTATGTCTTGTAAAAATATGAACATTGTCTTGTTGATATAGGATGTTTAACTGTAAATTGATGAAGTCTTTACATATTATTTACAAAAAAATGAGGGTTGTGTAAAATAAAAATTTGAATGGATTAATATAACTATTAGTTGACACAAAATGAGGAACTTGTTAATGTAAATTTTAGTTTTGAATATGTTGGAAGTGAAAGTTCTCCCCTGAGAAGAATTGGATGATGTGTTGTAAAAATAATGATGTTGTTATATTCAAATTGAATGTTCAATTATAAATTTTGAAAATTGGAATTGTGTAAGTAAATTTTAACGTATTAATGTATTAGTTGCAGGTTGACATAGGAAGAAAAAAATTGTGTTGATTGGTGGAACTCCAAAGCATGTCAAAGTTGAAAGTTCCCTTGTTCATATTTCAACTGCTAAGTCCAAAAGGGAAAAAAGAAAGATGGGATGCTTTCATTATTTTTTTTCTAGGGTCTTTTTGTATATCCTTTTGTATTATGAAGAAGATAGGATTATGTTAATGATGTGATCCTGCGTGGCAACTTAATTGGCATCCAAGATATCATTTTAGGTAACATCCAAGATGGCATCTTACATGGCGATCAAGTAATAGATGATAGTATATGTGACAACAAAGCCTTAGGTGGCATGCCATGTCATTGAGTTATTCCAAACCAAATTATCCAAGTAGAGAAAAGTTCAAGTAAAGAGATTTATATTTAAGATTCTATAATACATAGTAGGAGCCTAAATCAACACATTATAGTTCTAATACATAAGCATACACTTAGAGGAGGCAGATTAGGCCATAATTTTGCTAACATTTTTTCATTTGATACATGTTACTTAAGGATAAATCCTCTTTAAGAGGGAGGAAATGATGGGAATCAAGGAACTGTAACACCCTCAAAAATACAAATCAATTTTTCGCAAATTATTAAAACCATTATCATGATAGAAAATTTTCTTACCATGATACATCCAAGACATAACACAAGTCTTAAAATATCCAAAAAGGCAATTAAGAGTTTACAAATCAGATCATAAATCAAGAGGGACAGACATAATCCTCTTGGTCATATAAATACTTTTAATAAAAAGGATTAGAGTTTACATGCTTCACAAAGAAGATATGTTCTAAGTTGGCACAAGATATATTGTATAATCCAAAATAAGAGGCAACGTAAAAGATGGTGTCTTATACACCATAGTTACACCTCTGGTGCTTTCTCGGCCGGACTCGCTCCTGTAAAAATATTAACCACAGGGAATGAGACTTAAAAGTCCCAGTAACTAAAAATTAATATGTAATGATGCATGCGGTTGTAACTAATCATGCGATTGCTAAGTGGACATACAAAACATTTAACCGAACAATATTTGCATGACTGAACCTTATATTCTCCTTTCGCCATGCTCGGACGTCAAATCACTCAGCCAAAGGTGAGTTGGACCAAGCGACACGCCACTCATTGGGTCCAATGAGGGCTTACCACGTGGTAATAATTAACCGAACAAAAATTTTTATTAACACCATACATTAAAATACCCTGACAACTCATGCATCATTCAAATATCCAAACAGAAATATATCCGAATAATAATATCTCATCATGATAAACAAAAATAAATTTTTAACCCATTTGAAAATAATTTCAAACAAGTATATACAGTATTTATTTTTAATAATTCATAATTTTTCCAAACAATAAAACAACGCATAATCATTCACAAACATACCCATCACAACACATTAATAATGATTACCTTATGTCTTAAATAACAAGTTCCCCTTCACAACTCTTTTTTCATCACTATCTTTGTCAATATAATCTACATAATTATTTCACAATACTATATATTAATTTTACATTGAAATTAATAAATAACTCTAATTTAAAGAGTTAGAAAGTTTTAGATCTAAAATCCATATTGACACTAATTTAAGATTTATGCCTCATTTAACTTTCCAAATTCTTTTCTAAAATTCTCGTACCCTAATAAACTATTTTTAAGCCTCAAATCACTTCTAGTATCATAATTTCATCCATCTATATTCTAAAAATTCGTTCAAAAATACACTAAAAATTTTAAAATTATCCTGAGGCCTCAAATCACCTTTCTATAACCTCAAAAATACCTATTCATACTTAAATAACTATTTAATAATTAGAGGTTCATCCATACATCTCAGATTCAACATAAATTCAGCAATATAGATCTAGATTTTAACTCAAAAATTCTTAAACATGAGTTTCAACCTCAAGAAAATATTTCATAATATTTATTATATCCCTAAGAGCTTTAACTTATATTTTTAATCCATCATATCATTAGATTAACTATCCTATAGAAAAATCATAATCAGAATATTTACTCTATCCTACAAAATAATCATATCACTAGAAATCTAATATTATTTAGAAAATAACTATAAAATTAATTTTGTACTTAAATAAATTTTTAAATGCTAATCTAAACAGAAAAATTGGAGCATATCTAAAAAAAAAGAAAATAATCTCCCCTTGCGAGAAGACGCCAAGCAACGTGAGAGGAAGAGAGAAAAATAATATAAAAATGAGATTTTAGGTCTCACAATTATATTAAAAAAAACTATAGGTCTGAATTTAATTATTCAAACCTTTGGGCCATTACTTACAATTTTCACAAATTGCACCTTGGGCCATTAGTTGCAATTTTTACAAATTACAAAAAAATTTCTTTTTGCTTCCTTCTGTGTCTCCTCGCCTGTGCCTCCTCCTTTTATATGTGAGGAGGCACCTCACCTTCCCACATCTAATCGATGTGGGACTTCTATAGTGCCCCCTTTTTTTTACTTTCTTTTTTTTCTTTTTTTTTAACTCACACACACACATAATTTTTTTTATTTTAAATCTTAAAATTATATCTTAACAAAATATTTCTTATATAATTTTAAACCTAAGTTTTTAATTCATAATTAAATTTCTAACCATATTATTATTTCTGAATAATCTCAAATAATATAAATTTCTATTATTAACTTAAATTCCATAAATTTTTTTTATCTAAAATTAGGATGTTACAGAACAAGTTGAAATCTAACATTTAATATCTCTGATTCATTACAGGATACTAAAGGATCAATGACAAAATCTAGAGTTAAGAGGATAAAAAAAAGCCCTAAATTCATTAATTAGGGATGTTTTAAATGATCAAAAAATCTTGCAGGCCAATGGTGTAACATCCTAAATTCTAATATAGAATCTAATTATTAAATAAGGAGCAAGTTAGTAAATTTGTGGATTAATTAAGTTAATCTTGTTTTCAGGTTGTAAATTGACATGTTTGATTATTGGACAATTGTATGATCAAGATTGGAAGAAAATAGAGCTATTTAAGGCCGAGTAGATAAGCTAAATTGAGGTTTAGCTTACTGTACCACGCGTTATGGTGCATGGTATGGAAATTTAACTTTTAAGAATGTGGATCAAAGGAAAAAGGGGAAAAGCCATGATAGAGAAGGGAGAAAGGGAAGCTCTATTAGGGCAAAAATTTACAAGCACTTGAAAGTAGAGTTGATAATTCAAGCCAAACTCGATTGACTAACCTGAACCCGCTCGAAAA